AGGGTACAAACGAAGCGAAGCAATGTGAAGTCATACATGAAAGGAAAGGCTGGCCAGAGAAAGGAAATGAAATAACATTAACTATGCAAAGTCAATTACTGCCGCAAAATGAACCATATAATAGTGGTACCTTATATGTATTCAGTTATTATGAAAAAGACTTAGTTAATTAATATTTATCAAACATTGGAAAAAATTCTAAAACTTTTTAATCTAATAATTCGTATAAAAAGTACAATTTCATCAAATATATTAAATTACATTTAATCTTATGTGATTATATTAATTGTGGCCTAATAAATAAGATAATTTGATACCATCATTATATATAACACATACAAAAAATAACATAATACGTATAAATGTGCTTTAGTTACTTAGCAAATAAAATATTATTTGTCTATAGAATAACAAACAAATAATATAATAGTAATGCAATGAGAAAAAAAAAAAAAACATGCTAATTTTCATAGAAAAAATATGAATACCAACATTTACAAACAAAAAGTCTTTTAAAATTACTACTTTTTTGTTGCTAGCGTTTAAATATATGGATTCTGTAAGAAATTGGTTCTCATAAATAATGATCATATATCTTTTATTTTCAATTTTAAATAATTAAAAAATCTAAAAATTTGTATACATGATGTATATTTTAATCATGACTCAATAATAATAAACTTTACAAATGACTAAAAGTATCATCATATAATGGAATTCTAATTCTTCTGTTGTCAAATATTTTAACAAATGATATGTTTCTCAATATTTTCTCATTGTTTTGTTTTATCATTGCAAAAAAAGATTATATTGTTCGTCTATATTCTAGATAAATAACACTGAAAATGAAATGTAGTAGTATCAAAACAGTTTTGAATGTTAGAATTAAGTTGTCACTTATTATAGAAATATTTATAATCTCATTGGTGTATTATGCTTGAACATATGTGCAATTACTTTAGAGGTACTTTCAGGTAATGTTTGATGATTTCAAAAAATAATTTAGCACCTCAGGAGAAGTACATGTAACCAAGATTTTGGAAAGTCAACTTTTATTTAGAGATAAAATTCATTCTCACCTCGTGGGGCGATGCATCAATGGGGTAGACACCAATATATCTAGAGATAGAGGAATGTAGTAGTTTATACAGTGATAAAAAATATCAGCAATTTTAGTGACACCGTTAGTTATTTCATAGAGATATTTATCCTTTGTTAGTAGAAGTACCTTGTTATAAAGATCATACGATCATGAAGTTTGACTATATGTTGGGTCAGAACGTTTCTTAAGTGTTTGAATAAAATTGGCGTTTTGCCAAATTAATTAAGAGGAATTTTGCAATAATATTGATGTATTGGACTCCAACGACTATGAATGTTCTTATGAGAACGTTAAAACTATAATGAAAGAAAATCTTTGTGTTTTTTTATTAGAAATTTGTTTTTATATATATATTTTTGTTGGGGGTTTGTAAAAGTTATTTCACTATTTTTATATGAGGACATCATTATGTTAATTCTAAATAAAAAAAAATCACATATGAGTTCATTTTTTCTATATTTTACTTCATTTATGCAATGATATGTTTAATAAATAAATTACTTTATTTTACAAACTTACTCCGCGAAAATCATTCGACACCACGTGCATCGCACGTGCACTTTACTAGTATACATAAATATCTTATTCATATTTTGTAACAGCATACCCCGTGCGATGCACGTGATACATATAATAAATCAATTATTTCTATAGGACTTGTACGTCTAGACAAAAAAATAATAGGCTTGGATCATCCATATTTCACATCTTTTAATAAGTGGCGTTTATTTAAGCTAAAAAATTCACATGTTAATTAATATATAATTCCGCTAACACGTCATAATAATATTTATTTGATTTTAGAATACATATTTATTCATTGATATAAGAAAAAATAAAATTTTTATGAATTATTGTTCACCATATAATACTCAATTATTATTTTATTATAAAATTTACAGTCATATAATATAATTATTATTATTTATAAAAGTTATAGAAGTAGTCTTCTTTATGTAATGAAATTTAAAATAAAATTTTGAGTATAAATGTTTACAAAATACACACACATGTTTTTTAGAATTCAATTTTCTCATAATAATTCTTTTAAAAAAAAATGATTTAGCAATTGCCAAAAAATAAATCCCTTACATAATCAAGAGATTTTTTTCTAATTTTCATCCTAAGGCTTTATAGTTTATTTAACATACTATTCAATAGAAAAATATTTTACAATAAGTTCATTTTTGAAACATAAAAAAAAAGGTGATAAAAACACTATCATAGTTGATAATAATATACAAATAAATAACATGTCGAAATTTTAAAGAATAACTAATATAATTTTATTATCTAACCACCAATAAAATTATTTAATGATGTGAGCATTATCTTTTAAATAATAAATAATATTAATTTTTTAAAAAAATATTAGTGTTATATAATTAAATAAAGGTTAAAAAATATTACTCGACAAATATTAACTATAATGAAGATTAGTAAAATCATTGCATAAATTATTTAAGAAAAAAATCTTTAAGATCATATTTGGATAATAAATGTAAATATGCAAGCATTTAATGCATATAGTAAAAAATTTCCAAATAATAGTATGCATTAAATGTGTGTTGACTTTTCTTGCTACTGTTTTTGGTAAATAGGTTGGCTTTTAATATATATACTAGTGCATGGCCCGTGCGATGCACGAGAAAATAATATTACGATTGTGTTATAAATTAAATATACAAATAAATGAATCAAGATTTACCCATCGTTTTAAAATTAAACCGTGTTGGATACAGTCCGACCGGATGGACCGAGAACCAGTTTATAATTAGTCTAGTTCACTTGAATAAAATATTTGCTATTGAATCCGTCAACACCAGTCAGTTGAACTGGTAGGATCGATACGATTTTCTAAATAAATTTTGTTATATTTAAAATTATTTTAAATAAAATTAAATAAAATAGAGATTTATAAATTGTTTATCAATTAATTTAAATATTTGAATTTTTAAATTGTTTAGATATTTAAGTAACACATTTTATTTAAATTTATTACAAAAAGTACCATATATATATAGCATATTTTTAAAGAAAAAAATAAATTGTATAATTTTTATAAATTGTATGATTATATTAAAGCGTATTTATAAATTAAATTGTATGATTTTTAAATAAAAAATAAGAAAAATTATAAAACTACTATTTATGGGTTGCATTAAATGCTGGCCTATTTTTTTGCTACTAATTTTAGTAAATAGGATAGCTTTTTATATAAGTATAGATATAGATTTGCATGATCTTTCTTGGGTTTGTAACAATGGGAACTGCCGTTAGAGCACCCACAATGCTTATGGTTTCTTAGAAAAAAATCACATGCCATGTAGGAAATAGACATATCCTATAAAAAAATGTTTCACAATGCAATTAAAAGTTGACTTAGTCTAACTTATGTGGCACTAGAAAAAAGAGACTAAGTCCACACTTGGGTCTATTTTGGACTCAAGTGCAAACACACCTAGTCATTAATTGCTCATAATTTTTTTTTTCTTTTTAATAGGCAAAACACATTTTTTTTTTGTATGCATTTATTATTATTATATTTTTATTGGTTGTTTAATATTTTAGACCTATTACTTTTTTTGTTTTGCATTGGATAAATTTTGGATTTTTTAGTTTGGGTTTGTCCATGTCATTATGGACTTAAGTCAATTTTTTTGCCACATATGCAAAAAAAGACCCAAAATACTGTGGGTGCTCTTAGGAATTGCAGACAACTTATTCAAAAAAAAAAAAAACCACCAGTCATAAATTGCAGAGCAAATATCCTGTTGAATTTTATTCTTGTAGATATGAATTTTTTTGAAAGATTATATAATTAAAAGTATCACTAGTGAATTTAAATATCGACCTAAAATTGGTTATCCCTGAAAGATTGGTCATATTGACCAGTATCATAATTGCATAAGATTTGTGTGAAGGAGCTCTTGAGTGGACAGTGGCAGGTGGTCTTGAGGCATGGCTATAGAGAATCAAACTTTCTTGCTCATTTTTTGGCCTCGCTCGAGGCCCAAGGGCCTGGCAGTTTTCATCAATTGGATAATCCTCTTTCGGGAACAAATTGGTTAGATCATGATGTGATAAGAGTGTTTTATTCTCGAAATGTGTTAATACCGTCGTAGTTAGGCTTTGTTTTCTTCTTTTTATCAAAAAAATAAATAAATTAATAAATAAATAATAAATTAATAGTAAAAGAAAAGGAGAATTCATCAAGATACTTTTGGGATTTGGTTTGGTCCAATAATATGATGCCTAGGTTGACCAATTTGGGGAAAAAGTAGGAAATGAAGTCAAAATTACTTTTGACTTTATTCTCCTGTGGAAAATTACTTTATATTTTGTTTCGTTGTGACATATTGACCCATTAAAAATTTAAAATAGATCGTTTCATAGTTTTTTTTTTTTTTTCAATGCCGATTAAGCTTAATAATGACATATTGAGCTTCACATTATAGATGGTTTTATAGTTATAAAAAAATATAAAAAATGAATAACAATAAAACTTGGATTTTTTTTTATATTTTATTTTTATTTTTATTTTCTTAACCCAATAACAAAATCTCTAGATTGTACTAGTGTTCTTCATGTACCATTGCTCACCAAAGAATTTGACCTTGAGAAACACAAATTATAAACCAAACACTATCTTTATTCCATTAATAATCAATATTACAAATTACAAGTACAAAGGCAATCACTTCATTGCTTCTACATATATATCATCACTCAACACACACCAAGTACTTATTATGCATTCAACTTATATTATACTATCATTATTTATTGTTGTTATTTTATTATAAATTCTATTACAACATAAAGTTTTCATTATATTCTTGCATAGAGGGCTCGATCCCTCGGAAGCTAAACTGGCGATATCACGCTTGTCCTTGTTCTACTTATTCTTCAAATATTCGCCGAGATCAGTATAATACTGACTGAGCCATGTTTGTAATTTCTGAACCACCTTTTTCCTTTGTTCGACGAGCCAGTCTGGGTCTGACGCGGTTGGTGTAACCATGTCGAGAGCGTGCGAACCTTCACAGTTTACAACGACACACACAAATATACATTAATTGTGTTATACATTAGTTGTAGAATCAAAAAAAAAAAAA